CATATCCATCATATATATATTCATATCTCAAAAAATACAACTAATAAAAACCACCAAAGCAATAAACAGGTACATGCAACTACAAAAAAAAAAGATCAAAAATAAACTGCAGTTAACCATACAAAACCAAATTGTTCCTAACTCAATAATCTCATAATACCTTGAATCATCAAAATAAAAATACTATCTCCAAATAAACACAAAACCAAAAAATAAATTTATCCATAAGTTTAAAACATACTACAATCAAACAAATGAACCTCCTCTAAGAAACAATAATCCAAATAGAAATATAAGAAACCTAACGAATTAGCTACATTACTGTACCCCAAACATACATAAGCACTACATACTCACAATAATAAAAATACATCAATAAATAAATGAAAACCTACCCTATACCTCACACTGCTACTCAAAACATCATCCTTAACCTTGAAAAACAAGCCCTTTAAAAACATAATGCCCCTAAAAAATTAAATCAAACCATAAAACTCATTTCAAAAACAACCTTATCAACACCTCAACTAAAAAACATAATATTCAGTAAATATACCATATCCCCTATCATGCACCAAGTACAAAAAAAAAACCCAACAAAACTATTAAAAACCATTTTAAAAACATTAAATAAAAAAGTCTTTCAAATATTAAAAAACATCTAGCAAAAGCCACCTAATTCATTAACACCCCAAACTCCACCAAGCAAACTAACCCTACCCAATCTAAACCCTGGCATATCATTAACAAAACCAAAATCCCAGTAACAAATAAAAAATGTATTTAAAAAAGCAATTAAAATCAATTCCAGGTTAAATAGAAAAAACTCCATAAAATTGTCTTAACTCAAAAACCAAATGACACATGATAAATAATATGAAAAAATAACACAATGTATACCTCAAAAAATATATACCTCAAAAAAATCTAAGCATTAAATAAAAAATACGTATAAACCTCACTTTTTACTCAATATCTCTACTCTTATCTGTCTATATATATAACTAAACCTCACTTTTTACTCAATATCTCTACTCTTATCTGTCTATATATATAACTAATTTCCAAAAGAAACAAAACACCCCACACAAGTTATTTTCAAAAACAACACTCATTCCCTCACATCCTTCTCCTAACGATATTCTGTACAACAAAACAAAAGTCTCCCTTACTTTGAATTAATTTTTAACAAACTAAAACAAAAAAATTCTCCAAACTATATATATTTTTTTCTTTCTCTTAAATCTATTCAAATGTACTCTAAACTAAAAACCCAAACACCAAAAACTCACACATCCAGCCCTCGGGGGTCTGGGCCTCAACGCTTTGCAACACCAAAAAAACTGATATATAACTAAACAAACAAAACTACACTTCCCAACAAGAACTTTCTAAATTGACCATCTCTTCAAACAACAAATAATTTTATTATTTATTATTCATTTGTTTATAATTATAAATACTTTACTCATTAAATAAACATTTTTTTCAATTTTCCTCCAAAGAAATCTTTTCCCAAACCAATTAAACAAAATAAAAAACCCACTTAAATTTTCTTTATTAAAAACCCTTTTCAAAACTTTTCTCCCAAATTTACCCTAAACCAGGAAAAATATCTCTTGTGCATTATACATATATCAATGTAGTATATAAATATATATTTGATAAAAATAGACATTAAAAAAATGTTTGATTACCATTTCAGGTAAAGGGGCTGTTTGGTGTTTATTAGGTTAGAGGTAGAGCTTTTAAATAAATAATGTAGAAATTAAAATGCACAAATCTATAAGATATAGACATAAAAAAGAAATATAAGTAATATAAACATAGACATGTAGATTAATATTAAATAAGATATATATATAGATGTTATATATGCTTATATGTTATATATGCTGCTTCATCCCCTACTGCAAGGTCACCGATGACAACAACACCCCTCCATGTTCACCAAAATCATATTGCCAATATTTCCCATAGATAGTACATACATCACGGCAGCCATGTAAATCCACCACACCGCATCAGCACATGCACACTGCTGTACCATCCACTAACCAACCCACACAGCCCTCCAAATAAACCACACCTCATCAGCACATGCACACTGCTGTACCATCCACTAACCAACCCACACAGCCCTCCAAATAAACCACACCACACAGGCCCACCAAAACACGTGTGGCACAGCATCCGGAAACCACACAAATGTACAGCACCGCGTTTGGCCAGAAATGCATGACCACAACCATTTTTAACCACAAATAAATGCACATCACCATATTCAAGCCAAAATGCATCTGCAGACCACCATATC